GAAAATAGCATATTTAAGCTTCATGAAAGGATTTAAAAGCATATATATACTGTATATATATACTATTTTCCCTTCCAATCAACACACATATGCTTGAATGTGCTTTCCTGAATGAAAGCCTGTAAACCCTCCTGCCATGCAAAGCAGGTCTTGCGGAGGCTTTACAATCCTGTTAGTAATAGTGTGCTTCATGGTAGCAGCACCCAGACAAAGCTGAGCGATGCCTTCATTTAAAGCTATTGTGTGGATCTATTGATTCATCTCTATCAATGATGTGGGATCTTTCACATCTCACAGACTTCTCTCGCCTTCTCCTACACACTCAAAGGCTCTCAAGTAGGCTTAAATCCTTCTGGACTTCAAAGGCAACCTTCAGCTCAAGCCTTTTTTTTCTACTCACCAGTACAAAAGAAAAGACAGCGATAATGTTTCATGTCATAACTGGTGGTAAAATACTAAAGGAACTAGTAAAACAAGGGTCCCGAGGGATTGTTAACTGAAAAGAAAAAAAAGGGAAAAGGTCACTTGCCTCCAAAACCATCAACTCCTCTGTATATGTTTCAACCGGCTTTAGAAATATTACAGAGGAAATGAAAAACAAAGTTCTTCTTTCTTCTTCCCAATTAAATGTGGATTTTTTTCATCCCACCACAAACCAGCAGGACTCTTCTTTTTAGAAAAAAAATAAAGCAAAAAGGAAACAGAAAACTAAGAAAGTGCTAGCAAAATTTCATCATTATCTTTTTTTTTTTTTCAACAGTATCAAGGCATCAAGTGTTTGCTGCATTGCACTGTGTTGTGCTGGGAGGATGAGTCAGTGAGCCTCTAAAGTGGTGGTGGATTAAAAACTTCTCCTTTTCAGCCACAGAGGCTATTAAGTTGGAGCATGTTTCACTTCAGAATGAATATGAAAGCGATAGCTAACTCTGATGCTGAAAGGTCAGATTTAATAATCCAACTTTGCATGCAGTCCTTGAAGTTGCTTACATAAAGATAAGTAAATAATTGATTTTTGCTTTTTTAAAAACTGAGCTATGCCACGGCAATAGTTAAAAAACATACTGAGTTAACTTCATTCGCGCTCTTATGAAAGGATTTAACTTAGTACCATGGAAAAATTTTAAAACTATTCGTCCTAAAATTCAAGGTATTTCCTTCTGAATATATTAGAAAACTTTCAGAAAGTCCAGTGTTGTGGTAGCAAAAGTTAGGATAGGAGCATAAAACTGAAACTGACAAGAATAACTAGCTAATGTTCTTTTTCTTCCACAGCAAGAGAAACAAGAATTTTACCCACGGAAATCTCAGAAACTAAAAGTCAGCATGGCTTTTTATTTTATCCCAGTTTCATGATGATACCTAAGCCTCACAAAGTGGCTAACAGGAACTATCTTGTACTTGTTAGTCTTTCCATTGCGCCGGTTTCAGTACACAGTTGCAACTCACTAATTGTCACCTCACTCTTTGTAAAACATTCCCTTTGTAGATGTACGTTTAAGAACCATGATGATAACTACTGGTTAGCCTATGCTGCGTTCGAGTTACCTCGAAGTCAGATGTCCAAGTTGGGAATGACATCACACCCAAGTTACCAGCGCTTCAGTTACCAAGTCGGAAAAAAGCACCATCGGAGGCAGAAACAAGATGGCTACATCTATGAAAGGAGGTGCTAGATGTAGCCATCTTGTTTCCACCTCCGATTTTGCTTTTTTCTGACTTGTCAACTAAGACGCTGGTAACTCAGGTCTGACGTCATTCCCAGCTCAGACATCTGACTTCCGAGGTAACTCGAGCGCAGCATGATTATATAAACAGAGTCTACTTTTTGGGTGGCAACTGGGATGGACCACCATTTTTCTAAGGGGGGGGGGTTAGGGTTATGCCTTTTCAATTGACATACCTCACCTTTAAAGCATTAAAGCTCCTGTGAGGAGTTTTTGTAATCATCAAAAATTACTGAAATTCATATTGTTGCTTTTTCATGACATATAAAAGCCAATGAGACCATCAGTGATATGACTAATGATTCTTATCCTGCATTTCTTAAAGCTAGAAACCGTTGTAAGGGGGCAGGTATCAGAAGTGCAGACAAACTAACAGCACCATTCTTACATTTGCATATTAAATATGTGAAATAGATTATACATTTGATTGTCAAAAGTCAGAGGAATGAGATTTCACCATGCAATGGACATGGTGAAATCTCAGGGGGCACCAAATGGTCACAAAGTGGTCTGGGTGGTAGAGATAGCAAAAATCTGGTCTCTCCTTCATCTAGGTGCAGATGGGCAGACTCCTTCTCTTCCTTTAAGAGTAGACTCAAAGCGTTTCCTGATTTTTTGTTGTTGTTGTTGTTTTATAACCTTATTGATTTATTTATTTGTTTGTTTGTTACCTTGGCTAACTTCTTAAAATGAGCTTACTTGACAGCTGGCTACCATTCTATCATTTCTCCATCACAGCCTGTAGTTTTTGTCCTCTTATTCTGTCCTGTAACTTCTGTCTCTGTTCTTGGTTTTACCGTAAACAAACCAACGTCAAACTAACCAGATTTCTTCCTGTGTGTTGATATGACAACAGTTTCTCCTCAATAGTTTGTGATCAGAGCTGCACATGGCAACGGTTTGGTCCTCATAGCAACGGTTTGCTGTCAAACAATGACGGACTGCTACCAGGAAATGTTGGATAAAAAAAACTGATCAGAATTAAGTACTTACACAGAGATGTCATGAGAAGCTTCATATGTTCTACATGATTTTTTCTTTTTACAGACAGCAGAGGGATATAAAACTTCCAATACCGCGTTACTCAGTTTCAAAAAGTATTTCTCAAAATGTTTTATTTAATGCCTTAAATCCAGCATGAACTATACTTTGTGTGCTCCTGTGTAGACAGTGTTGCCTCCCTGTGCTTCTCAGCATGTGAAACTCAGACAGCTCCATTTGGAGCCACAGCCACTCTGCTGCGATACAAATCCTCATCAAAGGCTGCCATCATCCAAACACATCAAAGGGTGGACCTCTGTCTCCTGGCTGTGAAAAGGCAAAGGTTTCTGTTTCTGTCTGAGCATCTGTCTGTCTGTTTCATTCAAAACTCAGGAAAAAAACATCCTTTTTCTGTCTGGGCACCAACTGTTCGGCAGTGCTGATGGTTTTCTCTTTTTATACCTCTGGCCACTGACCGCAAAATATCTTTGTGTGTACCAAACTATTGTCCAAAGAAGTGCAAGTGACGTATACAAAATGTATAGCTTTTTAAAACTGAGTTTCTGTGATTTGGGAGATATCTGTCTCCCTAAATTAACTGCTTCAAACTGTGAAGCCAGACTGCCTCAGACAGATTTCAAACATGAGCAAATAGCAGGCTTAATAGACGTCACAACTTAAAGCCTCTTGTGATTGGTTCATTTGCTCTCTGTGAAGCTGTATTACATAAGGTTTTTGTAACATCTTCTCAGCTGGATTCTGGAGGCTTACAGCTTTTGCTCAGACTTACAGTGCAGGGGAAGATTCTCAGGGAACAAATAAGGTCTTTTTGTACATGAAGCTGCAAATAAAGATACATGAGTAAAAGAGGCTTCGAGCCAATCACCACTACTTCTGAATATGTGAGGAGAGTTAATTTACATGTTTCCAAAGAGATCATCAAAATTACAGACTTAAAGCTGCCTTTCCCCATGGGGGCTTCAAGAAAAAGGGGACAGGGGGACAATTACGGTAGCGTGTAAAAGGATATTTGAATACCTAATAAGAGAGAACTGCAGCAGGGAGACATGATGTCCACAGGAGGGCAAGAAGAGTTTTGTGCTGCCTTGTTTCTGGATGTTTCTTCTCATTGTAAAAAAAATGCGGTGGAAAAATAAAGTCAGGGAGAAATGTGATTTGTTTCACAGAACTTTCACTCTCAGTATTTAGACCTCTGTGGTGCAGTTGCTTGCTTGACAGGATTGTTTTAAAGAGCAAAACAAGGAGGATTTGAGTCTAAAAGAACATAATGAAGAAATGTTGTGTTACACCAGTGATATTCCTCCCACTTGACTTTTTTCCTTGGTGTTGTAAATCTCTTTCTTAAGCAGGATGTTTTATTCTGACTACACAGTTGTTGATGGCCTATGTGCTTCCTCTCTCATCACATCCATGCATTATTCAAAGAGGAAGGAAAGGGTATTAGCTTGCTATGGAAGAAAAAGAACAATAGCTAGTTATTTTGTTGGTGTTGTGCCACTCATCAGCTTTAAGCGAGTTCATTTTTCTTTGTTCTTTTCTTTTCATAATTTCCTTACTGTAATAAGGGCACACCCTACATAACAAAAGCTTAGATGGATAATTCTGTGTTTTTTTGTGTGTTTATGGGTGAGAATATAAGCCTCTGGCTTAAGGTTGTGATGACTGATCATCTCTCTCTCTCTCTCTTTCTCTTTCTCTCCCTCTTTCCCTCACACAAAAACACACATGCATACACATGCACCCATGCTCTCCCACATGCACCTGCCTTGTACCTATTTCAATGCACCATTCAATGGATGCATTATATTCATCATCGTACATTATTCAGATTTGAATCAGGGGCTGTCAGCTTGCTGACGATCCAGCTTCCAAATTTAATAGCTCGGACAAGAATAGCCTTGACAGCATATTGCTGTGATTCAGTGATTCTGACATGATGGCCACTAAATGTAACATTTGATATCACTTTATGACTGGTTGTGCACTGCAGACGCTGAATAAATGCGATTGTCCTTATGACTTTTTACAGTTTTCTTCTCCGTAGCTGTTGAATAGCTGTGGGAGCCTCAATCAGTCTACCAGCTGTTTTCTGTGATCCTATCTTCCTCTGTGTCGGCAAAGGTCTGTATAATTGCAGTTTCCTGACACACAAAGCTGACTCAGGGATGCTGCTCCACTCCTTAGGACTCCAGGAACCACAATCATGTTAATCCGTGAGAAACCAAAGTTTATTGGCCTTTATAGGTTTGTACATCTACTGCTGGATCACAGTTAAGCACAAGGAGGATTTCGGCTTCCACAGAGATGTAACCAGACGTTCCACTCTACAGTTTTAATTGATTACTTCAAATTAAGAAATGAAAGGGGGGAAGGGGCTGATGTTATCCATCCATTATCTTGCTCTTGTTTTTCCCACCATGCAAGAAGTTTTTGCCTTGAGCACCAGAGCGAAACAAGATTGTTGAGAGCTGATAATTAAAGGTTGCTTAAGTTTCCTTTTCATGATTCGATACACGACTAATCCACTTTTCAGAAAGGTTTCTTGTAAGAACAGCTTTTTTTTTCCCCCTGAAAGCTTTAAGGTTGACTCTGACGTTTGGTCACACGGTTGCAATATAATGAATTTCCTTAAGTCTTTATGATACCCTTTATACCTTGGTCACAACAATAGGCTCATAGATAAATAATGAGTCACACTCTGAATCCATTCACACATCATCTAACAAGAAAATGTTTTTCTGTAGGCCATGTTTCGTTTATTCCCATGAGAACACACAGAAAACAGATGACATTCCAGCTATGAAAGATGAGATCCTTCTAATGATAAACATATTGTTTAGCAAATGGGATACATAGTAAGATGCTAAAATGTCACAGTGAAATTAAACACATTGATTGGACAAGCATCTGTAAAAAATATCCAGTGGGAAATTTTTAAAGATTTAGGTTTCTCTTTTTTTTTTCTTCAACAAAAGATAATTGAATATTAATACATTATCTGATAATATATAGTAGAAATCTTATAATTTGCATGCCTAGAAAATACCCTGTATTTCTTACTGTAATAAACCTACCCAGCAATGAGACGCATAGGGGTTGATTCATGCATGCTAGCTCTGAAATGTCTCCTTTCAAAGGTAAGGTCTTTAAAAATAATGTAAGCTCTTTCAGTTCCAGGATGGGTGTCAGTTTCTCAAAGAGTATGAACAAGGTCGAAGAACTAATTTCAAGGAGAAGACCCAGGGGCAAGGAGTGGAACAGGGCCAAAGTGCATATTGATATTTTGGTGGACAAAGAAGACATCAAAGAAGACATCAAATTATTAAGTTACGCTTAAAATGAAGTTCAAAAGAGACATCACAAAGAAGATAAAGATGGCTGTAATTAAACAGAAATTCTTGCTCCTATCTTCAGTATATTAAACTTAAATGTGACTGAAAAACGTCAAGGTTGAATAGCTTTGAAATATTCAAAACAAAAACCAAACAAACACAGATACATATTTCATTTGGCTTGGGGAGCATTTGAAATATTCATATGCATGGTATATAAAAAATCAAGAACATTTCAAAGAGCAGTTGAGCATAAATATTTCATATAAATATTTGAATCTACATTTGAATGTCTCTTTTAACTGGGACTGACATGCATCAGTTAATAGCAGTGGCTTAGGTGGGTGGTAGGGTCAGTGTGGAGACACCCTTTGGGAGATTGTGCTTTACGTACCCAGAGCAGGGCTTGGGATTAATGTTTTAGTTGTTGCAGAGGAAAGGGGATCCAATCTTCAACTGACAATGATGGACGTTTTACTTGTGAGTCTGTAGCAAATACACCTTTAAACATTTGTGTAGATCTAATTCTGAATTTCAAACCCTGAATATGAGTATAAAATGAGGTACTAATTGGTTACTTTTGGATCAAGGCTCCAAGTTATATGGGGAGACAATCAGAAACATATAATGAGAGCATTCGGGGTGTGAACAAAGAAAGCTAAACTGGATAGTGGTTTTGAGTACACGTTACCTTTTACAAAGTAGATTCCTACATCATGTCATGTCTATGCAACCTAAAGGTGAAAAGGGTTTCTGACACAGAATATTAACACTGACAGAAACAGTAAATCATAACTCCCCACATTTAATTAAAAAAAAAAGCTGATATCAAGGGTTTATTACAACGCAGAAGCTGCTGTCAGACACATAAGCTGAGTTATGAGACTTATCAAATGAAGATGAATCAACACAATCTAGAGTGATATCATAAGAGTATCCATGAAAAAGCCAATGGTACTCTGTTATGGCTACCAGTTTCAACTCAAATTTACATAATACAACTCGAGCTGTTATAGCAGTAAGTGGTCATTGCGATTATAAAAGGACAATCTGAACCACCAACCTTTAAGTGTAGATATAGATATTGTACATGTGTGTCTGTATATTTGTACTTACGTGTCTACAAAACCAATCTATACTATAGATTGACACTCTAGAAGAGGAGTATTGCATGAGTCGGGGCTGGAGACGGATGTCTTGTATCTCCTGGCATTGCAGTGGAACAAGCGGGCCATTGGCTAAATGAAGCGTTATATTGTCCTGTCCTCTTGTCAATTCCCTCCTGGGTTTTTTTTAGCTAATGCAGCCATCAGTTACGTCAGTCAGGCAGTCCATCAACAAGCGGTGGCTCTTCCAGAGCTGCAGCTGAGCCATTGGTCTCCCCTCTGTCACCCCCTGAATCTCTCTCCTCCCTGTCCTCATTCGGGCTGAGTGGGTCCGGTTGGGACAGGCGATCCAGGGGGTCAAAAGTATGCATTTTGGGCTCAGGACTGAGGAGTGAAAGCTGAGGCAACAGTGGCCCCTCCCGAAGCTTAGCAGCCAGCTCCTTGGCGCTGCAGGTAGGGGTATTGGTCTCATAGACATCATGGAAGTTGTTGTAGTCAACTTCATAGAAGCCTTTCTCCAGGGAGAGAACTGGTGTGAAGCGGTAGCCCCAAAGTACCTCTGTATCCAGGTAGGAACTCCGTGCCTGACATGTCATCCCTGTTAAAGGTATGGATAGACAAACATACACATGTCAATTTGTAGAAACCCCCCACACACACAGAAAAAAGGAGAAGGGGGAAAAAAACGAGTATCAATAAATAATTTATGGTTACACAGGAAGGGCCAAGACCTTAACCGTGTTTCCTCTGAACTTATCATGTCGGCGAGGGCTGTGATGTTGGAAACATGGCTCATCTGAATAAACCCCTGTTGTAGAGCCTGAGCTGAATACGATACATACCGTATTCATACAAGATATATTCACACTAGATGAAAGGGTCAATATAAGCAATCTTAGGTGCATCAAAAAATATGTCAGGAAAATTGAGCACATTTGTCACCCCAGTCTAGAGTCTATATTTTCTTTAGAGATGGCAAGAGTAAAAAGGCGACAGTGTTGGTAGGAGAGATGGGTTTTGACACATTCTGCAGGTCTATTTATAGAAATGCTTTGAATGATAACAGAAGTATTCAAGGTGTAACTAATAACATCAATGATAGCTCTGCTCCATTTAGTGCCAGGAAGCCATTTTTAGCAATACAGCAAACACAGACCTCAAAATGGATTGGTCCTATCAAGTCCCCAGACCTGTAAAATCATTTGGGTTAGATTTGTTTTTAAAACCATATACCTACAAGAGAGTTTCCTGAATTAGCAACCTTAAGGAAAGCAGGTAACACAACCTTACTCAAAGAGATTTCCAGGCCTTCACACATCTACCTATCAAAGTTAACAGAAAAGATTGTGGTCTGAATTTAATTTTAATTTGTTGTATTGTAATAGTTATTCAAATTTTTAATAATATACTTAAACTAGAAAAGCACTCGGAGAGCGCAGACCTCCGCCAAGCAGCTCATGTCCCCCCTTATATTGTGATTCACACCAAAACTTTTACTGTTACGTGTCTTTTATTAACTTTTATTTGTGTTTAAACTGGTATGTTCACTGTTCATAATGTTCCTAAAACAAGAAATGCCCTGACCCGGATTCAAACCCAGGACCTTCTGGCTGGGAGGCGACAGTGCTAACCACTACACCACTGTGCCACCCATTGCTTATCTTTGAGCATTGAAAATTCCAATGACACCCTTATTTTTGTGTGTTCTGGATCACAGTATCCGGAATTTTGTCTGGATCAGGATCAAACTTTGAAACCTCATAAAACTCATTGAGATCCTTTTTTGTAATTTTTTTAATAAAGACTGGCCATTTTTATAGAATTAAATGCAAAAATTCCGAAATTTACCCTATCTCACAATGATAAAAAATCCTTCAAAAGATTCCTGGATCCAGAAAGCGATCTTGATCCCCACCAAAATGTAATGGGATCCTCCTGGGGCTGAGACGCACCTCTGGTGAAAATTTCAGGTCAATCCGTCTGTAACTTTCTCCGTAAAGTTGTTCACAGACAAACCAACAAACAAACCAACGCAACCGAAAACATAACCTCCTTGGCGGAGGTAATGAATGGACGGATGCAACCTTACACTCAACCAGTCAAAAACCTAGCTTGTGCCAGTCCACCTAGTCTCGTAACATCGAAAATCAATATCCAGCTTGGATCAAATGGAGACATGCCCACCAAATCTTCCCAGAACCTGGATTTCAGGACCGATGACCAGCCAACACTAAAGGTTCACGTAACCTCAAGCTCTTGTAATATCACACATTGATCTGCAACTTCTCACTAGCTGGTCTGTAACCAGTCTGAAACTGCACGTGTCACTCCACTGTTCATCTGTCTTCCAGTTGCAGCTCGCATCAAAAACCCTTCTTCCTACTTACAAGCAACAAAAAACGACAGCTCCTGCCTGCTCGGGATCTCTCATTGAGGCAGTCTCATTGAGGTCTAGACTGCCCTTACACTCTATGCTCTGCCAGTGACCCCCTATGATGAAATGTACTACCCTACTCTGTTAGATCTGCAGAGTACATTTCTACCTTTAAGAAAAAAGCTATTTCATGAACACCTAGAAGCACTAAGCACAGCTCTTGTCCTCTGTAGTCCCCATGGTGGAATGAGTTACCCAACCATGTTCTGTCGAGACAGTCTCTTTCTACTTCCGAGAAACTCTTTGACCCCGCTCTTTGTGAACACTTCAGCACGTGTTAGTTTGACCATGATGAAATTATTTTGGTAAAGAAAAATTATTCCACCCTCAACTTAAGATCCCTTGTGACCTCCATACTGATGGAGAAGAAAACAGGAGGAGGATTTACTCTTTACATCACTACACTCAAATGCATGGGACAGGCTCAGCAAAGATATAAAAGGGAAAAATTGAGTGAAACCAAAAAATGTCAAATCAGGCATGATGACGGAGCATACACTGGTGAAATCAAGAGCTAACCTGAATCAGTCACTCTCTGTCAGACCGAACTGGCACTGAACTCCTCTTCTTCCTCCCGAGCAACTTGTCATGCACCTACTAAATACAACTGCTCTAGAACACAATATTTGGGTTTGCCTTGGAATTGAGCAGCACTTTGTTATGGCTTATTGCAATAACAGGGGCAGTATAGGAATATGTTATTGGTAAAGCTTTTCAACTAAACTACGAACCCTACCTTCCAGTCTAGACTCTAAAGAAGTACAAAAACAGCAGTTGCAACTATCGAAATGCTGTGATCAAAAGGTCCACAAAGGCTTTGTCTCCTGAAACGGACACATGCTAACCGAGACCACTGCTTTTTGGATGAATGTTCAGGCCTACAGGGGATGAGTGTTTGATTCTCAAAAGGCAGAGAGTTACATAAGGATCTATTTCTAAATTCATAGCATCACCAGTCACATCCAGTAGGAGCTCTAAAATAGATGTAGATGTTAAAAAGATAAGGTGTTACAGTAAAAGGAGGGGCATTTGTACCTTTCCTTCAGCTTTCCCTCTGGATATGAGTGGCCTAGTTTCCACATTTAATCCGTGAAATTTTTCTGATTGCTGTGACGAGATCAGCAAAGATGTTACAAGATCCACTAAACCCCGTAAGAAGGATTTTCTGTAGCATCTGATGTATTGACATATTTTTAATGCATTGGTTTCAAATTATCAGTTTAATGAATAATTCATGGTCCAAATGAAGAACTAATGTTCCATTTGCTTTTGGGAGACTCTTCCCAAGCTGTTATTATTTTGAATGATCAAATCATTTTACTTCAAGATTCCAGGTCCCTGCCTTTTTCTATTCCTATAATATAGCAGTGTGATGGAGTGCCGTTATTCCCCGACTTGCGCGGGTCTCTTTCTCGGCGCCTGAGAGTGCCAGTGCTGGGAGTACACGTGTTCCCCCCCAATCTGTTTCCCTGCACCTGTCCTGCACTCCTACCAACTGTTTCCGCTTTTTATGGACTCTTTTCTCCCTAATGTAAGGGTTATGGTGACAATTACATGCCATACACACAAATACACCCACTTACCAACTGCCATCTTACAATTCAAACCATGCACTTCCTGATCTCTCAGTAAATAGCGCAATGTGGTACACCTTTGGGGGTCATGTGACAGCAGGACCATACCAGTAAAGTTCATTTGTGATATTTTGTTTGATTTATTGTATTTTCAAGGGTTAAGGTCATAGCTGTATGGAGGGCAATTAGTGCCTTTTTTGTCTGTGGTGAAATGTCTGATTTATTGATGAGTTTCTGTTGTATTTTACATATGGTATCTTAAACGACTAAAATTTGTGTATGGATGTGCCCAGGGGAGGGGCTACATTGGGGACACATTTTTGCACTGCACCTTGGAAAGCCAGCTATGTGGATATGGATATGTGGTTTCTCAATAACACAACCAACTAAGAAAAGCTGAAAATTGACTTAACAAACTCTTTCAATAAAGGTCATTGATCTTCTGCACTGATTGGAAAAAGACCAGCTAGTTGACAGACTCCGATACTCTCACTCTCAACTTGGAGAAGCCATTCTGTGTCTTATGGATTTCTAGAAATTACACAAGGAAAGGGCTCTCCCCAAACCCACTGGTCCATCAGCTACAATACCTCTAAGCACCTTGCTACTTTTCTTGCTCCCGTGGTTGTTAACATACAACACATGATTAAAGCTCCAAGGACTTCACAGACAAGGTAAGTTAACTTAGGCTACATCCAGAGGAGACTATTGTAAATATCAGAAACCATCCAGATCCACCTCATCTAGAACATCTGCTGAAGCACAGTTTACTTTCAATACAACAGCTCCACAGACAAAAGCACGGATGTGCCATAGGCTTATCGATATCTCTCGAAGTGGCTAATCTCTCCATGGAGGACGTAGAGAACATGACGCTTTCCTCTTTTCCAGGATCTACTCACATGCCTCTATGCAGTGAATGACTTCAGCAAATTCAGCAAAGAAGATGTACAAGAAGACATGCTTACCCTCTTGGACTGCAGTGCACAGAGAAGAGGACTAAAGCCTACAATCTGAAGTTTTAAGGAAATCAACACATACAGACCTGAACTTACACCATTTCTAATTGTCCATTTGAACACAAACAAGGAGTTACTGGAGCTCTACAAAACAGGGCTTAAAGGGAAGCCTATAAGGGCAGAAGGCAAGAAGAAGGAACAGCAACATCTAAGGAAAACACGAAGAGCCTTACTCAACATTTATATGACAAATATCATCGAGAGGGAAAAAGTATGTTCCAACATTGAATAGCATACCCCTCTGGTCAGGACTCAGCTTTTCCCTCACATCTCAAGGAGGCAGGACAGCAAAATTACATACTGTCCAGAGAAGACCGCTGGTTTGAGATAGGAATGAAAGAAGCTCTCTATTTCAAGGTAGAAACCATCTGAACTGAGGTAGCGGTTTGAGACACCCCTACAAAAAACACCGTTTTGGAAACCTCTCATCAAAAGTACAAGATACTCCCACTGAGGATCATGTGATACAATGACATGTAACCTCAATGACCCAGGAAAACCAAGTCAACAACTTGGACTATTTTCAGGTGACAAGTCAGATCATAAGTATACTGATGGTCGAAAGACAATAAATGCTCAGACATGCACACAGGAGGGGGTGCGGGGGGATCTGAGGAGGCTGATCATGATGTTATATGGATGCTACTGTATTGTAGTCTCAGATTAAAACCACTTATCCATTCACTTCAACCACATATTTGTTAAACTCCTGATCCTTGCATGTGTCTGTGAATTCGTTTTAGCATCATATGTTTTACCGTTGTATTGCCATGATGAGTAATTTAACGTGTTCACAGTATCAGTAGTTTAGTGAAATGCACATACTGTATAGAGAAGTGAGTATAAGACCATCTCACCACATTTAAACATTATTGTATCCTGTTAGGTGCAGCTCTTCTTGGCTAAATAGGTGTTATATGGAATAGGGTTTCCCTTCAAAATACACTATCAAGTGGCTCTGCACATGTAAGCTTGTCACCTGAAGAAGTAATATTGGAAAGAAGACATCAGATTGCAAGATTATTCTTGAAATCTTAATGAAAAATTGTGCATCAAATCTGACTTTTGCCTCTGACAATGCAAAGAATAATGGTGTGGTATAAAGTGAGTCTCTCCAGGGAGCATCGGGGGAAATTGGTGCCCTATGATACACCTCTCCTAAATTCATAAGTGAAAGTTTCATATTAGTGTCGTAACACATGCTACCTTATTCTAACAGTTAACATATCCTTGTTTGTGACCTGAGAACATAAATAAGCAGTGCTGACTGACCACCTTTGTTTTTAATTTTTCAACCAAACAGCAACAATAGACTGAACTCTGGCTGCACATAAAAAAACATCAGCATCCCCCTCAACTACATTTGGGAATTTCCAGAAAAACTTGCTGCTGTTTTCATATAGTAGCTTTATGGTCTACCCCTGCTCCAAGCCAAGTCTTTTAGAGCTGAACAAGCTTAATGGAGGACAGGTGAGTAATCTTCAACAACCATAACTATGCCCAGTTACCTTTTGGATCAAGCTTTAGACACACGCCACTAACTATGAAACCAGGAGACATTTAGATTTGAGTGTCTTGCCAAAGGACACTCGTGGGAGTTGGGTTGGAATCACCAACCTTCTGATGAAGATGGTTGACTCTGCCACTGAGCAACAGCCACCCTCAATTTTCCTTATTTTCTGAGAGATTTGATCAAAGTAATCAGTCAAGCCGCTGGACCTATTCACCAATATGGTCTTAAGAGTTACACTAGTTGAAAACAGTTGGAAACATGATGAATCTAGAGAATATCTGACATCATAAAACCCGTTCCTTTTCTTGTTGTGATAAGCTTTTGGCTGCAGAACAAATACTTGGCTACGGTCTTACTTGGAAAAACAAAATCATGTTTATCTCTTTTGGTTAAGGCAGTCTGCTGCAGGATGTTGTGCACACAGAAAAACACTTGTGCTTTGATGTGGTCATGTGCTTCAAGACTTGACAGCTGGCAGCAGCCATTGTAATAAAAGAGGTGGCTTTATTTAGCCATGTTTGTATGTGTGATATTTGGGTTTCATTTTCTGTAAACAGGATGGATATTTGGAAGAGAAAATGTGCTTGTGCTTTTAACGTTTATGAATATTCACGACGGTTCTTCAAAACATCAGTCTGCCATGCACAGTGCAGGCCCTACATTTTGTCGTCCTTTATTTCCTTTACTTTATTCTGCTTAAGATACAACTGAACTCATTGAACATTAATCATTGTAATTGCTGACATCCACAATAACATTGTGTTCAGCTCTGGTTCCCTTTCAGACCAACAGTGACAAAGCAACAAACACAAACAATGAGCAAACAAGGGCGCCTTGAAGGGATGATTAGAATTTTGCAGCTTCTTACATTACAAAAGCTGTAGCTGAGGATTTTCACAGCATGTAAACACACACACACAGCTTAGTGTCACCTAAAAAGCAGAGCAGCTAGAACACATCTCCACTCAAATGCATATAACAGGATAAAGCCTACAAAACACCAGCATGATCTTTGAACATAAAATATGCAGGAGTAAAGATGGAGTAGAAAGAACTGACCGCGATCGCTCTGGGTAAACAACTAACCTTCCACAAAACGTACAGTTTTAGATTTCAAACAGATTCATCCTGGTTTTACGAATTGCTTTTCATTCAAGGGTGCAAGTGTCAAGGTCATACATGCATTGTGAAAGATTGCACATAAAATAAAAAGGCCATCAGTAATATTCCTGGTCACACCCTTGTTTTATAGCTGTTTATGCATCCAATTGTTATGATGACATTGTTGGTTTATGCTGCTGCTGTCCTAGTTTCTGTATCTCATGTGGGACTTCATAAGGGTTATTACCTCCACCTCTTTATATACCTGTAGACTCTGACTCTAGATTTGCCTGGAGGGAGGTGTCTCTTACCTCCTTCAGTCTCTGATGTGCTAAAGTTGATTTATCCACATGAGCAGTTACAGTGTCAGAGCGTATATATGTTCAATAAATCATCTCTGTTTTATGTTTCCTTTATGAAATACTACGTTCAAGCAAGGTGAGCGGGTAGTCAAATCTACCACTCTAAGTAAGTAGACTGCATCACTGATTCCTCGGTTATGGAAAAGGCCCCTGTTTTTCTATTAGATTGTATCCATTACAAATCATTTATAAAGAAGACAAATGAAGTTTGAAGAGATTAAGTAGAATTAACATTATTTTGGAAGACTTAACATTAAAAAACCCCAAATGTGTACTGTTCTTTGACAGGGTCACGCTCTTGTGTTTTCTGTCTGAGTCAGAGTTTGCACTTGTTGTGATGACTTTTTGTTTTGCCCTCAAGACTTTCTGTAAATGTTGTGTTGTGCTGACTAAGCCGTGTATCACTATGGTTACCAGTCCTAAATATTTCCATGTCATACTCAATATCTTACTTCCATGTACTGTAAGGCTTCACTCGCCTTTATCTTAGCAAAAAGTACTGCTATAGTTTCAAAGATTACTCTTGAAAGTTTTTGCAGTAACATTAATCTCAAAGATAATCTTGATTCTTAGCAAACCCTATTTCAATACAACTAACTTATTCGAGAGGAAACGGGGCAACCTGAAACCTGCTGTCCTCAGAGACGCTTCAATAATAAACAAAAAATGTTTGTATTGTCAACACTGCTGCACATGACTGAGCCCTGGGCACAGCAGGACCTTTATCACATTACGTTACAATAACCTGCACCAAGATCTCTGGACTGTTAAGGGTCATTTGTTAGCGAAGTGTTTGAACAGCATCCAAATAGCTGCTGAGATGATTATTTAATGTGATAGTTTTATGTCTAAAAACAATCTACAGTGAATAAAAGACACTTATTGGAATACTTTTACAGTAACGATGAAAGAATATTGGTATAAGGACATTTTTTAAAGCTTACTGCATAGTTTGATGAAGTATGATGGTGTAAATGAGCTAGTTGCATCTTGTGAAAGCTGGTTTAAAAGAAAAATTCAATTAATTGTAACAACCACTTTTCCATCTCTTTAATTCTATGTGCCAGTATCCATGATATGGTTCATATTTAATCTAATAATCAGTGCTTCCTGAGGTGGTTTGCCTGAGCCATCATACAAACCTGAAGTTGCTCGTCTTAAGTGTCCTCCTGATGCTTGACTTTGGTCATTACTTTGTTGAAATAACCCACAAATCTTTCCTCCCCAACCAAAAATAATAATAAAAAAGAATGATGTCGATTAAATATCAAGAAAATGTATTTGCATATCACAGTATTTACCTTCTTTTAATGAATTCATAACTACACTGTTGATTTGTTTTAAAATATCATTTAAAAGAACAATTTTACTGACAACAGGTGACCAGCAGGTGTTCCCATTATATGGTAGTAATCATGATGGAATGAGTTACTATTGAAAGTAAAATTTCCTTATTCTGATGGTTAGTGTGCTTTTTGTTATGCTGTTATCTAGAAATAAAGTTAACAGGTGAAAGTCCTCATCTCTAGCGATATACAGCCTCCTGCAGAATATTCACAGTTGTGTTAAATGCTTGGAGAAACAAACATTTTACCTTTCAAAGTGCTTTGGTAGAAAGCAGAAACTGCTTGTGCAGTAGAAGACAAATATTGCACAAGTATATGGGAAATACTATAAATACTGTCACTGACGGTTACATTTAACCCCTCCAGCTTTCATTCAGTGACCTCCTGAACAAGTCTCGCTGAGGTCAACAGTGTGTGCGTAGGAGGACTATCAGATGGTTAGATGGGTGTGTTGTGGTCAAGGACGGTGAGTGCATAACCCTGTATGATGCCACCGTCTCTGCTGTGGAAGCCAAAGGAGATTTAATGTCTGAGTCAAGCATGGTGACTACTGGTGCTCTAGAGGGAGGGAAAAAATCCATATGACATTCAGCATAAATTATTTTGGTTGCATAAAAAGCTTTGCCTGATTACATTAGTGAGTAAGAGTAAAATAGTATGTCATAACAAGCAAATGTCTAAATTTTTTAATTAAAAATTAGTTAATTGTAATTTGTTTAACAGAAGCAAATAAACACGGCTGTTCAGGGATACACAAGAAGCTAATACCTCACACTAAACACACCAGGACATCACTAGCAATCACTTGTTTTTCACTAAGCTTTCGAAATCTAAACTTTGGGACCATCTGGTTGGAGATGTGTTTTTGTCCCTTTCAGCCTTGAAAACACTCTTGTGCGAGAAGATGGAGGCATTGTGGAACTTAACAAAAACACCTGGTCACGTCTGTCTCCTAAATGTAACCAGCCCAGGGCACTTTTCAGAGCCGCTTGGCCTTTACCCAAAACACAGACCAGCAGTGTGGGTGGCTACACTTCATTCATTTTGAAGTAAACAATATCAAAGACATAACCTTGGAGTCGCAACAGTGGAAATGCGGGGCAGAGAAAGTTTGCAGAGCTTTCATGGTTTTATATTTTTCAGAAGAAATAATAATTTATAAAAATGTGGAAATGATTTCTTGATTTAGACAGACACAGCTTCACCTTCCTCAAAAAAACATTTGTCAGCCTCTAAGAAACAATAAAATCCTCATTAAAACCTGCACAAACTCAGAAATGAAATGCATTAATATTATTCATGTCTCACTTAGGGAGTTTATTGTCTGGTAATGTTAGCCTCTCTGTCTTTCCATCCATTACAATATTATCTTTTGCAATCAGCAGCACTTACAGGTACTCAATTCTGCCTCTCCTTTTTAAGCAATGTATCTCTGTGTCAGCCTCCTCTCTCTTTCCATCCATTTACATCTTCCCATCCCTCCCACTCAGCTCACTTCCTGCATCAAACATTTCATCAGTGTCTGTCTCTGTTGATCTCGCTATCTATTGCTTTTACGACCTCCCTTTCCACCTTCTTCCTTTCATTATTTCACCCCTTAATCTTTCCTCAATTCATACCTGTGGCCTCCACCATGCCTTCCAGGATCACCACGATCTCAAACTCCTCCTTCTCCATTTGAGCCAGAGACATCTCCCAGAAGGGGCTCTTCTCATTGATCTCGTGAGAGATGATGAGTGGTGACACCAGGAACAGCCGGTCGTCTCCTGTGTCGAAGCCGATGTTTATGTCCGTCTGGTTGAGCGGGATGAACTCCCCCTCCTTGGTCTGCTGCGAGCGGATCAGCTTTGCTCTGATCGAAGCCTCCACGATGTGAGAGTTTCTCAGGTCCCCAACACGAAACATCAGGCACATCTTGTTGTCTCGCACTGATATGACCGCTTTGTGCGAGAACATCAAGGTCTCGGCACGGTTCTTTGGCTGTGAGATCTTGACAAACATGCAGCCAACCATCATTGCATTCACAATGGAACCCAAGATGGCCTGCACCAAAAGTAGAATGATACCCTCGGGACATTTCTCTGTGATTACTCGATAACCATACCCAATGGTGGTCTCTGTTTCAATGGAGAAGAGGAAGGCTGAGACAAAACTGTTGAGATTTTCCACACAGGGGGTCCAGCCCTCCTCATCTGCATGTAGAAGATCTCCACGGATGAGTGCAATCAGCCACCACAGGAAGCCAAAGAAAAGCCAGTTGACTACGTAGACCAAGGTGAATATGAAGAGACTAAGACGCCATCGGAGATCCACCAGCGTGGTGAACAAGTCACTGAGGTAACGGTAGGTCTCTTGCACGTTTCCATGATGAACGTTGCACTTGCCGTCCTTCTGCACGTATCGCTGACGAGGCTTCTTTGCCGGGTCGGAAATCAAATGGGTTCTCTCTGTTGAGATCTGAGCCTCCCTCAAGTGTTTTGGAAGCTTCTTCACCTATGGGGGGAAAGAAAAAAGACAGGAAGGCAAAGTCAAGTGATGAAAGAGAAAGAGAGATCAGAATCATTTTAAGTGCTTCTCCACATGGGTGTACTTTAAAGTAGCCACAAAGATTTTGAATTCTTTTCATAAATATTTTCTGAAAAGCTGGGTTGGGTTTGTGCTGGAGTATGTAGGTGTTAACCTTTCAAATGAGATTTTCTTTCAGTCTTTCCAAGCCACACTGCTCTGTGCTGCTGGCAGGGAGGCAAATAAAATTAAGAGCCGCTATAAAGTCACTGCTCTGTGCTTCCCTTCTGTGACATTGTAGGTGTCAGTGAATGCACATTTATATACAGGGGAGAGGAGGAAGTAAGGACACAACGAAAACACAAGGGCGCCTAGGTCTTTGTCTGTGTTGGCATGGCTCCAGTGAGGCGATCTGTCCCCACAGCTGTGCCCTGCCTCCTTCCCTGTCCCCTGTGTTCCCTCCCCCCTCACCCTCTGGGATTTTGGCAGGCCTGGGTAGGAACAGATCCTCCATCTTTTCCCAATAGACCCTCATGGCATCCTTAAAAAGAGTGGCATATGCCTGAGCACACGCATTGTGTTATGTAAAAACTACTTTCAGGCAAAAACAAGCAAGACTAATATAGTATGTTTTAGACATTCAGGTTTATGAAAAACAATGAGGACTGCAAATCCCAGGAATGTATTCCTGAAGGCGCTGCACAGTTACCCCCTCTTTAAACAGGCACATGCTGAAGTGTAGAGAGAGAGAGAGACACAAACGTATAGGAGGACAGAGCTATCAGGCACCTTTCACACAGACAAAGGACACGTTGGCAGCACACTGACACCTTCCAATCTCAGCTGATAATCAAAATGCATTGTGTAGAGGCAAGAAAACACCTCTTGTGTCCTATGAATCTTGCCGCTAATCGGACACCTGTGATCTATTTCTCTCTCGAGTCGTTTGCACATCTGATGTCCTATTGTAGCTACCCTGACTGCACTTCTCCACCATCAGAAAAACGATCACTCTCACAGCTCAGCGAAGAAAGGAAATAATTTAAGGAGCTATAACATCGGTGCAGCACTGACAATTGTGGGGAAGTGATAATAAAAATCTGTCCGGCAGGTTTGTTGGGCTTCCTTGGGAAGTCAGGTGCTGTGTCATTGCTGTCCTGTGGACATGCCTATTGGGTCAGTCCTGCATGTGCAGTATTGAGTTTTCACATATTGATCGGAGTGATCCCTGTGTAAGGAACATTTCAACAAAGAGGAATTGAAAGACAATGCTCATTGATCAGCATCGCAATTAGTGGTTAGATGACAGTGCATTCACTAAATGTCAGTGGGCCCTCCTTATTACCAGCTGTGCTCAGGGATATTGGACCTAAATATAGTCAGAGCAAAGTCAGGCCAGCATTTCCAAATTGAAGCGCCTCTTTAACCACATCATCTAATGTGCAAAATATTTCTTTAACAATGATAATCATAAAACTACGACCAAAATAGGCCCCTTTATTTCAACACTTTAGGCTGAGGCTAATTGAGTGATAGATGAAGCTGTCAAAGCACCACCTCCCAATCTTTGGCCTTTTTAGTCAATGTTGTCCATGGGGGTGATGGTCGATAAACAAATTCATTAGTTCTCTCTGTGTGGCAGTACAAGCACTGGCTGTTTTCTCTCTCTGAGCATTTTTGGACACACTTGGGTAGACAGTACAAGTTTTAATCAGCTTTGGAGTAAGGACAGATAACAAGCGAAAGCCAAGCGTTTTTGATTGGAAGGTCTTTTTCTTGTGGACCTGCTCACCTGCCAAGTAAACCAATCTATATATTTATCTAAGCCAGACAATCAGGTACTGTTCAAGTCTGTGGAACATATCACATTATCTGCACGACTCATTTACACAATGAAGTGTGGTTACAGCTTATAAACTTTATCTCACAAGCTCGTCCTGTTATTTCTAGTCTTGAAGGCCAATAGTCTTATTCTTTTGTTGCAGACACGGCTCACTTCTGTCGAATCATTACAAACTGTTTCACTATCATTTTCCTGCTTCGTGTCTCCAGTGTCTCATTTATTCTCATTTTAAATAGATTCATTAGCATCCAAGTTCAGCTCTCAGTTGTGGCTGTGTACCTGTGCAGGTGTGACTCCTATCTCCATGTTGTGGTCCATGAGGACTCGAGAATCTCCTGCCATCCTCAGCTAAAGCTCAGCACCTGTAGGATATAAAAAGTACAATGGTCTATCAAATTAATGATTAAAAATATACATTTATTTTAAAATACTGGCATTACACAAACATAAGAAGCAATGGATTTATTGATGACCAATACTGAGTCAACCAACAAGCCAAGAGAAAAGGCAAGAGGATCTCTCAGGGCCTTATTCAAGCTTCATTCATCAGTCCTTTCAGATGTTCAGTCCCGACACATGTAAATTACACATGCCATTTGAGCACTGCATACTATACAGCTCTACTAACAATATGGTGCTGAAGTGTAGTGCAACTCCCTGAGAGACACTAGTATTTAACATGTCATTCAAATAACTGCAAGTCATCAATATGTCAATGTTAGACATTTGGTAAGAGGCCACAGAAGACCATGAGGGCTTCCTCCAGCACTTAAAATGGTCAGACCTTAATCAAGGTTTCTTTACCACCTTAAGTTGTGAGAATTTAATTGCACAGTCTACTCAAGGATTTTGTTACATGAGGGGAACTGCTGTTACAGCTGACACTCATTTGAACTGTAATTTCAAAAAAAGCCATTGTAGTGTACACATGTTGTTACCGTTTAATAAATAATAAGCTTTTATTGGCTCAAACAAAGTGTTGTTTCTTTTGGCAGCTATTATAGATTTAATCTTAGTCTTAGAAAAAGGTTAAAGTGCCTATTAGTTTAACGATCATTTTAGTCTTTTTAGTTATAGTTTTAGTGTACTTTCAGTCTAGTCATTGAAACTATTGTCTTGTTTTCGTTTAAAATAAAGGCATCACATTTCAGTCATTAGTTAGTTAGCAAATTAATTTATTCAGTTAATCAGAAAATCTACAACATTTCACTAGTGTAACTTGTGTAATACCTTCATTTAAGATTGTAAAAAAAAATTGCTCACAGCCCAATTGTTGCAGGTCAGTGACCAGGTTAACTCTGGGTTCCCTCACAAACTCATTCTCATTCATTCATTCACCCAAGTTAGTTTCACCTAAAGTGAGTGTAAAGACTCAAGTTCTTGTAAAGTGAACACATGAGGTGGTGCATATAGTGTGAAATGAGCGAATTATACTCATGAATGACGTAATTTCGCAACCTGTTCAGATCGCTTGATTCATGCGGAAGAGTTAAAAAACCTGAACTCACACCAAGCATTTGTGACATGATAGCCGATTAGCATGGAGATTCCCTTTTGACATATACCGACAGCAAATCAGTGGACGTTCATCCATCTAGAAATGAAAAAACTCTAAATCTAGAAATGGACAAACTGACTTTGATGGTACGCAGCTACCTCAGCTATAGAATACAACTTCCTTTAAAATTAGAGACAGGAGTAAAAAGACTATCTCCTTGAAGGAAAGGGAGGTTGGATTATCTGGTGGACTGTTTAATCACAACAAAACCCCCACAATGTACTCAACCTCAACCATGTGTAAGCTGATGTAAACGGATGTAAACAGACCGAAATGGCACAAAGGAACCCCTCCTGTCTAACATAAATTCTTACTTTGGGGCTCCGTCAAACGCCCTGTATGACCTAAGCGAATTAAGCGAATCAATAATCTTAGTTGCTTTTGGTGTGAACACAACATTACAAGAGTGCATTACCTGTTTTGTTGGGCAGAGATACACAATGGGAGCAAATATCATGAATTTTGAATGACCAGTGGTCCACCACTAACATTTTGATCTTGTCAGTGTCTTATCAGTGAAAAAAACAAAAAGACAAAACATAAACAACAACTTCTTTTTCAGAATTTCTACTATCAGCGAATGCCTGGACTTGACAGCTTAATCAGTCTCATCAGTCTAGGATAATGTTGTCACTCTTAATCTCTACAGGTATAGATCATTATCTGCCTTGGTCAACTTCCTCAGCAGTCTTCCCATGGCCACCCAGTCCTTGCTCTTTTCAGCTTCATCAGCTCGAGACAACCTCATCAACCATCCCCCCCATTACCACCCTATCTTTGCAGCTTGATCAGCTCCATCATCTCATCAGCCTCGGACAACATCAATGACCAACATCCCTTCACTAATGCCTCAACTTCTGGGAAGGGGTGAAATTTAGCTGCTGCTAAGGATAAAACACCCTTTAATCACAATATCTCCCTGTTAGGATCAAGCACCAAGGACACACCGACACTAATTCACCATTACATCATCTGTGTGAATAAAGCTTTATTTTAATCAATCAACGTTTTCTCCTGATTGAAAGAGAAGTCCACAGCTCTGTCCTGTCAGTGTGGTGGGGGTCAGTCAAAACAAACGTTGTCAGTCTGATTTTTATGCTTTCGGTACAAGCAATTTTTTTTTCAGTCACCCTCTTGTTTTACTAGTTAATGTACCAATTGAATAAGCCTCTGAGAAATACCATTTCTCAACATTTTTAGCGTTGCGGGCAGCGTTGTTTCAGCACCATGAAGGAATGTCGGTCAATCAATCCATCCAATATTAAATTTTGTCAAGATGTGAATACAGTGAGGACAATTTATGACTTTCTATGAATTTCTGCTCAAGCATTTCATTCCTTTGCCCTTTTTTTCATTTATGTTAATACATCACAATCTGTTTATCTGAAATAGGGCTGTCATGACATAACCAGTCCTAGGACTGAAGACCTTGCCTCATAAACGATTGTCATGCTTCTATCTTGATACTTGTTTTAAATATTTTTCAGTGTGAAGGTTGTAGCACCATTGAAAGTCTGTGCTCTTATTCGGATGTATATCCTTCTTCTTGTTGATCATCAACTGAATGAAAAATGTTAAAAGAATGGTTAACGAGTAGATATTCATTAGTGACCAGAATAAGTGACTCTAATATTGGTTTTTGATACACATAAATCTTAGAGTCAAGTTTATCTAATCATCTCTCAGAGGATTGCTACAGCTAGCTTGCAAGCAGATACCTCTTCCTCGTCATCTCTCCGCACTTTAAGGTGTGTGACAAACAGCTTAAAGGACCACAGCTATGACTTATTACCCACAGTAACTCTGTGTGCTTGTTTTAAGAAAAATATTGGTATTTCATTTGAAAAAAAAAGACACTTATTGACTATTACTGCCAACCTAAAACTCACAGCTGATGACATATCCATTCAGCTGTACCTGTGTTAGACACTACTTAGCAAATGCACTCAATAAAGATGGGGGATATTACAAAGATTTAACCTTGAGCACCAACATGTTAGCAGAGTTCACGTTAGCATGAAGGCATGGAATTTAACTCCAAGAACCATGAATTTGAAGCAAAGCTTGACAGAGGTACTAGCATACAGACTCTTTAATGCTATAACAATACAGCCTAAAAGAGGCCCAAACTAATACTGTTGCAGTATTTTCCTTTTTTTATGACTAGTGGAGGGGAGGGTGCTAACGTCACGTCCCATGTGAGCCAGTGCGCTCCCATCGTGTGCCCGTACAATGAAACAGGCTCAGCTGCACTGTTTTTTTCAAGCCTCATTTTCCCAAAGAGCAGGCTCATTATTGCCAGCATGGCCAGTTGCTTCCACTACATGTGCCCACATGCACACACATACACACACACACACACATACAACTCCCTCCTAACAAATGCACCACTCACACAGCTCCACCATGTTTCAGATCAAATGCAGTGATTGCTTTCTTAATCAGTTGGAGACAGAAAAATAAATACTTGCTGTCAGACAAAATCCAGTTGCCTCTTTTGCTATTAATTTAATGTAATAGAAAACAAGTGTATGCATTATCTTTGTGGCTGTTTTTAGCTCCACTGGAGCCTTTAGGTGATGTGCTGACAGTTAACACTTAGTGTGATGTGATTTTAAAGAGTTTTATTCTCTGCTTGGTTGTATGCTGAAACTGGTATTTTTAACATCTGTTATCTTGGGTACAAAGTGACAGGAGGAGTAGAAAAGGAACACTTACAATGTCTCTGGAATAAAGCGAGATGTAGAAAAAAAGCTGCTCCAATACTTGTAATGGGGAGTGGGGGTGTCAGTGTGTTTGTAAGGGTGGGACCTGAGATAAAGCCCTAATTTTAGCCACAATCTTGCAACACCGTTGGAACCCTACAAGAGGCAATAAAGTTATCGAGCTCTCGGGTGTTGTTTGAAAATCAGCTACTTTTAATTTTGCCGAACCGACTATGGTTAGACAGGTCCTTGTGATGAACCCGGCTAAAGAACAAGGATCAATTACTTTGCTGCTTGTTCCTGACCTTAACTACATCTGACATTTCTTTGTCATCTGTCCTTGGTGTTACTCTATTTGATCGCTGACAAGTGAGGAGGGGGATTGAAAGGCAAGCTCGGAGAAGTGAGGGGGCCACGTCAGAAGCCAGATCCACACAGGAATGTGGTGTTGACATTGATGGTCCAAAGCAAAGGGCAGAGTGACGTGACAAGCATCTGAGAGAGGAAAAGACAGACAGACAGACAGCAGAGGTGCGGCACACACACAAAGCTTCTGACAAACCTCGTTGAATACATTAAAGGGGTTGCAAGGTCTCGCTTTCTAACCCGTTTTAGGTTTCTCATGAATTAAACATGTCTCTCTGGAGATTCGTGAACTCCAGATTTGTGTGTATTTTCAGCATGGTTGTGATTGTGTCGTCTGTACGCAACAGCAGACTCAACAAACCCAAATGAGAGGTGTTCGAACACAGATACCAGCTGGGGTGTTTTATCTTGACGCTTTAAGAGGGTAACAAGCATTTATCTTGTTACCAGTGGAGTGGCAGGATGCTTTGGCTGAATTGTGTTTGTGTCCTGATAACAAGACCACTCATCTGTTGTGCCTAAAGCAAAAGGGTCCAGGGAACCAGGGAACTTGCTTCCTAAGGGATATCTAGAGGACATATATCTCCTTGTTTGCTGACACTGCATGTTGTGAACAATAATGTGCACTGAGCGCTGCAAAATGTGGCCTTTTCTTTTCTAACCTGTGGCAAGCGCCATAATTCCTCTCCAGGGATCTTCGTGTACTAAATAGCTCTTACTTTATGATTTAATTTTCTACATTTCCAGGTCTTATGTTCAAGAACTGGAAAGAAAAGTGCTGGCCTTCATCAATACTGATCAAGTCTTAAGTTAGAATAATAACCCGAATTCTAATTCGCACAAAAGATCACAAAAACTGTAAACTGTTTATTCCATGAATTACTTTTCATTTCCCATAATACAGAGGTAATCAATTTAGCTTTTGTCTGTGAAGAAAAACCGTTTCCTTGAAATTTGCACGGACGTGTTTGTTATGCAAATGCTAAAAATGCTGCTGCTGCACTCGGGTACAAGGCGTCCGATAAATGAAATTGTTCACTTTTCAAGAATGAAACCTAATCAGCAGTATTCCCTGCAAATGTGTGTATTTATAACACTCATGCACTCCCATAACACTATTAGTTTCCAATCCCACAATGCTTATGCTGCTGATGACAGGGTTACAAATGGCAGGAAAATGTTGCAAACTCAGCAGTATTCCTTAGTTTACCATACAAATTTGACCACGAGCGGGCACTCATCCGTATATTTTGAGGTCATAGCATTCAGTTTTTTTTGTCAGCTCATCAGATACACAACCGATTGGCCATTATAGGAATACAGATAAAGAAAAAGAAGAAAGTAAAGGGAAAAAGGCAAAGGCTGCAGGAGAGATGAGCTTTTAGAGATTAAAACAGCAGCTATATTTGTCTGTGTCTGATAGATATCTACACTGGTGGAGCTGTTTCAGCTTATCTTCTGTCTCAGCTTCTTGACTGTGGAAGCTCTGGAACGTTCTCTTTCCCAGATTGCCTATTCTCCCTCACTTTTCCCCTTGAGTTAGAGCAAAGAGTCATGGTTGCCGGGCCTGTCATGATTGTGTCTCAGGCTACGATTGGCCCATTAAATAACATGGCTTTAGCCCTATCTCCACTCACTTATGACACTTTGAGGTCAGTTGGGTCAAATGACTAAAAACATCCTCAGCTCGTTTGGCTCCAGGCCCAGCAAACGCACAAACACACACACACACACACACACACACACACATACAAACCACACACATACACACTTCATACCATCCCTCCCTCCATTTACCCATTATGCCGATAGTGAGCTGAGTGTATCCAGTTGTGTCCTTCTCATGGATGACCTTCTCTGGAGTGACACTGCTGCACGGAGACGTTTGACTCACATTGGAGAAACAATTTCCCTAATGATATGTCCAACTCTTTCCCCTTTATTTCTTGTGCACACACAAACACCCCTCTCTCTTCTGTACCTCATTCAATATTCCTCCACCAGATGGGCAACTATTCTTCTGCCCAGAATAGCCATTTTAACTTTCATACTATAGTGGCCTCATGTTTTAGATGTACTTTCCTCCTCCACTTATATAAGTGCGTTTAAAAAGAGACAGACGAATAGCATAAAAATAAAAAAAAGAAAATCACTGTACAGCTGAGTGGAGCCTGGATAGTTTTGAAGCCCAACAACTAATGTAGCCAAATAACACCCTCTTCAACCACACTGGACTGGAGCATGGAGACGTGACAGAAAGCTGAAGTGTGAAGTGGAGTGTCATGACATGCACCCTGGCACCCTTTCTTTTTTGTACGAGGCATTTCTGTCAATCCTTCACAGTGAAATGTAACTGTAGATCCTCGAGTTTCACCGAGCTGTCTTAGAAAGCACACAAAGTAAGTAAAGAATGAATTGTAAACAGGAGGAAGCCTGTGTGTTGGAGTTTAGTGATTTATGTTCAGCACTAAATAGGGGTATATAGTGGTTTAAAGAAATTACCGTGTTTCAAATAAAGTTGGTAAATCACATCCACCTCTATGATTAATCTGCATCAAACTTAATCATGCTACACTGTCTGAGAGTCATTAATCTTCTGCTTCACCTCACAGTAGAGGACAGATGAGCTAGTAAGGGTGGGACGAGGGAGAATGGGAGGCTGTGGGGTAGGGCGGGGCTGCAGAGCCAGGCAGCGCATGGCCAATGCTGGAGGAGCCAAAGGTCAAATGGTCTTGATTGGAATTCCTGACATGCTTCACTGTGTCCCCGTGCTTGTCCCTTTGAGGAGCCTCCTTCTCTATAGTCATCACATGCCAAATCAGGCCGAAATGAGATTACAGCCCTACAGTTGCATATTAAAAATCCTCAGAGCAGCTTGTTGGGCCGAGCGGCTGAGTAATACACCCTTTGCTCAAGTGCACTTCCTGACAAGGTGTCCTTTCGTGCTGAGCTTAAACTTCTGTTGATGACAGATGCCAGAGAGTCTGAGCTGTGTGAATGTGAAGCAAGATGATGTTGAAACATTGCTACGATCACTCGCTCTGAAAACCAGCACTGAAGAAGAGGGATGTTGAATATAAAAACCAGTGTCATCGCTCTCGAGGCGTTACAGGGATTCCTGATGTGCTTATCCTTGGAAAAATGAATCCCAGATGTTGTGCGTAAACTGAATTTGTTTCCTACATCTTCATCATACTCCAGTGATGAGCAGCATCTCTGAATGGAATGGATGTATGCATCAAATGTCCTTTATTTGCATAACATGGGATGCTAGATTGCTTTTCCACCATATCCATTGGTGTAAAATCTGGATTTTATGGCGCCACAATTATACGTGTGTGTGTAAAAAAAAAAAATCATATCTTGGTATATAATCCCATAGAATACTAAAACATATCAAAACTGGATTCATACATGAGCCATGGAATTAACTAGTAAATTTCCATTACGACTGCCAAATCCTGCAACACATAAACCTCCAGGTGGTAAAGTTAAACTTGCCTGACCTGAATGCTTATCAGCTGCACATTGAGACATCAACACATCTCTCTCTCTGTGGTGTGGACAAAAGAATCCTCATGAATATTGCTGACTCTTTTGTTCAAATAACCTCAGATAAAGACTGGTTCAGCCCCAATGGCTAAGCCAGAAGCAAGAGACTCTACAAATCCATTTCATTCTAGAAAACCTGCTGCTGACAGATAAGGCCATGAGCCAGAAAGAAGATTCTTGAGATTTAGTCAACGTGGACATGGGATGAAAACAGGAATTCATTTTCAAAGTTGGTTGAATGTAATGTATGAGAAAGTAAACAGAATTTGCGATTTTTCCACTTTTATTATCTACCTTAGCAGGTTTTACTCAGCTGCATAAAACCTCCAAGAACCAGCAGACTTGTCCAGCCTTGACATCCAGGGACTCTAGATGTGTGTGCATGTGTATAAACACTTTAAAGATAATTGACTTAAGTTTCAGTGTTCTGGACTTCTCATTTGTTTCCTTGCCAAACAGCGAGCGAAGGTGTGTTTGTGCCGCATGTAGGCTGAAGCAGCAGTTCTGTGCACTGTATCAACATTATGTGTGACATGGCTGTTGTATAAATTCATGCATTGTGAAGTCATTCTTGAATATATGTGTGGGTCTCCTCATAAATCTGGTACATAACCATCTTTGTTCACACTTCAAAATACAGTAAACACAGGGACTTAAATTTGCATTGGATACAGATGAGATTTATGATGACATTAAAAGAGTGATGTTCCTTACAGGGTGACAAGATTATGTTGGAAATTTTATGCAGCTCATCTGCTCCATTCAAATACCAAGAGATTGGATTCTATTCATATATGGCTGACACAGTGCAAGGCTATGCTTTTTGAATGATGCGCCATGTTATGTCATACCGAAACTGCAGTCCAAACAACAACAATAACACAGATACACATATACATAACAATTCATTCAGAATTCAGTAACTAAGACATACCCATGTAGGTCTTTAACCCCTTCTCTCCCCTCTCCACACACAGAGAGAAGTAAGTTTTTCTGCAGTGCTTTGACATGCTCACAGATTTTCCAGGGCACTAAATACAAAGAAGATCTCCACGCCTGGCTAAGCTCTTGACACAAATGTGCCTCTGCGGTATTAGAGATTTTGGATCTGCTTTAAAAAACAGAGCTTTCCATTCATCCCCCTGAGACACCCCGTCTTGACTAAATAAACAGATCCAATTAATCATTCACAGTGGCTTCTCTTTGGAGAGTGTCCCGAGACCCTGCTGAGAATTACATCTGCCCTTTGCCCTTTTTCGTCCACTTGTTAGGGAGATCAGGACATGGATAATGGACAATAGGCCAAGCAAGAATGGAGCGAGGTGCATAGCAGTGAGTCGCTGCTACAGTGATAGCGCTGATAATAAGGTCACAAGGCCATCCATCAAAAAGTATTACATCTTGGCTGTTTACACTTCCCCCCCTGCACTCCTCAAATAGCCAATAATGGTTTAACTAGCTGGGAGAGGGTTCATAGCAGATAACAGTGATAAAAGTTATCAGAGTGTGGCAAATGGGCACATTTATGTTTATTTATTTTTTATTTTCATTTATTTAATTTTTTATTTATTTCATATTCTCTATTTATTTATTTATTTATTTAACACAATTATTAGGGAGTCATTATTGTCAGAGCAGGTGCTGTTTTTTTCTTTTTTTTTCACCTCAGTGGGTTTGAGTAAGAATTGTGTCATATGCACAAAAATGAAAAATAAATTAAAAGCTAATGAGAGCAGATGACACTAATTATTTCTCCAACATGCCAGTGGAAAAACATATTAAAAAATGATGACTGAGCTCACTCTCTGTCTTTCTATTCCCTGACGAGGCAGCATCAAGAAGGGCAAGAGCTATAGGGTTCGATTAATGGGGCAGCTGAGCCCACTGCATTGTCATCAAAGTTTTACAGCAACAACTCTTGAGATGCGTGTCCAGCAGAGTGCACTGAACTGGAGCTATACAGTGGTGGTGAAAACAGCGATGTTCATCACACATTAAAGCTAGCAGCCCTAATCCTCAGCTCAGAGTGCGGGCTACCAGAGAATCAATATAAATGATTTCCTCTCAATGCTTTCGGTGTAGCCTACAATATTCATGAAAAGACTGCAAACAGCTATCACTGCCCTTTGTCGGTTGCTTTATCGCCTTCTTTTTATTGAACGCGTTGAAATGTGTAAGAACTGAGACACGGTGCACTGTGTGTCAGTGGTACAAGATCCCCCTCCTCCACGCGCATACACACTTTCTCCTTCGGTAACGCACAGACAGATGCACACTGACGCCAGCGTTGCTCCTGCTGCACTCATAAAACTCCTGCATTGCACTAAGAGAACTACAGCTCTGCACATGAGTATCAGCAGCAAGAGTGTTGACAGGCTTTTTCTCTGCTTGCGTCAGAGAAATCAGTTGCCTCTTTGATTACCCTGCCCCCGCCATGAGGGTGAGGAGATGCATGGTGATGATCTATGTATCTCTGCGGTGACAGAAGGCGAAGATGTGGTGATAAAGGCTGTTACTGATGGAGGAGGGTAATTCTACTACTTTCCCCATCATCACTTTCCCTTCGGCTGTTCTCTTGCTCTGGCATTGTCTCACATCCTCTCTTTCTATTCCCCCTCATCGCATTGTTTTCGTGCTATCTCATTCTGGTACTTTTTGATCTCTCTTCCAGAATTTCACACTTTTATTTGGCATGCCACCCCAGATGGGATTTGCGGCTGTGCAATTGAACACATAATGCAATCACAGCATGCGATGCCATCCACAGACAAATCAAGAGGAGGCTGCTCGTATGTGGAGCCTCGTCGTACCATGCATCAGCGGCTATAAAACCCTCTTCCTCTTTTGCCTTGCTCTCCCTGTCTCTTTCTCTGTTTTCTTTTTTTTTTTTTTTTTTTCTCAATCAGTGATACACAAGCCTTACCTTTAGGTCTCTGCAGGAGTAGCTGGCAGGCTCCCTTCCAGGCATTTCACAGCTCCTCTACTCCCCAGGACTGTGCACTCCTTTCCTGGCTTTGTTAAATCAACAACAGCCCTCCTGCCTCTCTCCTGCCACCCAGCTCCTTCTGCTCTTCACCGCTCTCTATCTACTCCTGTGTGAGAGGGGGGTCTGTCTGTGCATGTGTGTGCGTATGTGTGTCTGAGGATGAGAGAGAGAGAGAGAGAGTGAAAGGAGGGAGAGAGAAGCACAATCAGAGTGGGTGAGAGAAGAGAGGGAGAGGATGTAAATATGCGTGTGCTCTTACTTGAATGTTCTTCTCCTCTCTCTTCTACACACACACAGATTGGACCTATTGTCTCGCAGTATTTGTCCTCATAAAAGTGTGTGTTTACGCCTATTTGCACACAGCCTCTGCATCCTTGAGTGTGCGTGTGTGTGTGCGTATATACATCTGCCACATGGCTCCCCTCCGGTTACTGCAAAGGCAAAGAGAAATATGTGTAAAAAAAAAAAGTCAAGTGCAGCCTAAAAAAAGAGATGAGTTTTGTGTGAGTGTGTGTGTTGGGGGTGCAGACAGGGAGTGAGATGGTGAAGAGGAGTGTGGTATAATCAATTGCTCTAAAACTGCAGTTGAGAAAAAAAGCCCAGAGGGTTTGAGAGAGATATAAAGTAGAAGCAGAGGAGAGAATCTCGGTGAAAAAACACACAGTGTAAGACAAAGACAAGAGCTCGAGACTAGAGAGAAGAGAGGGGTGCAAACACGAAGGAGTAGTGGTTATAGGTGGAGGTTGTGGATTTCTGTTTGAACTTTGTGTGCGAATATGTTTGGTGTCACTTTTACTACACTCCTTTCATAAATATCAATATCCTACAGCGAGGCGATGAAAGTGGGCTGACCTCATCTTGGCCTTATTAGTATCAAATCAGCCATAATGAAGAGCGGTGTGATCGTAAGGCTTGGTTTAAATGTGAAATCAATTCATATAGCTTGGAAGCAGAATGGAGTGTCCTGCCTCATTTATCCCCCTATTATATCTTTTGTTCAGTTCTTGCGTTCTTTACATTGTGCGCACATGGGAGGACGTGCGGCACAGCAGACAGACAGGTGGATACTTGATATTGAGATGTTATTATGCATACAGAAAATTGAATGTAGACTCGACATAACAGAGGAGGAGTAATGGGACTGGGAGCAGCGGAGGAGAGCGATGGGAAGATGATGATAAGTGGGGGAGGAGCGACAGAAGCAGCTATCTTCACAAAGCTTCTTCATGTACTTCCTGCATTGAGTTTAGGAGATTTATGACTCTGCAGCCCTGCTTTGTTCCTGAATTTGCTCCCTCCTGCTCTTCCCTTCTCCCCGCTGAGTCGCAGGGGCGCAGCGAGATGGTTACGAGATACTTCTTCTTTTCCCTGCCCGGCCAGTCGGGAGCCAATGACAGAGGATTATGGAACATCAAGGAGTGAGGCTGCAATAATGAGAAGCTTGGGATTTGGCCGAGGAATACGACTAGTGGGCCACGCTCTCTCACACTCACTCCCGGGGTAGTGTTGCAAATCTCAGTAGTGATCATGAAGTGTTGGGGTTCTTAATTGTAAAAATTCTAGTCCTTCAGCGACAGAGCCACATGGATCATGCATGCGGATCAGCCCCTTGTGGTTCCCACTCGCTCAGAACCAGAACATGTGTAATTATTCCCCCTCCTGAGGTTACACCATTATTGATCAAAGCTGAGCCCCTTCCACCTTATTGCCTCTGCTGTTCATCCTGGGGAAAGAACCATTTGGTTAACCGGACCTCCTCACATTAATCACCCATCACACATTAATAAAGCTCCTTGGCACATTCATTATTGCAAGTGCTCGGAGGAGACTTGTGTATACTGTGGAGTCATTAGCATAATGTTAAGAGATGTGGGTTAGACAACATAACAGGCTCTTCATTTTTTCCTCTAAAAGATGATCCATTAAATTTAGACTGTAGATAAACCAACCCAGGTGAGCTGCAGTGTGATGCTGCCGAAAAGGAAAGTGTGTGTTTTTTAAAAAAATCTGATTTCATATTCATTAATGCAGAGATGTTCATACATAATACTGAAAAAACATAGCTTCATCTCATGTTCCTGCTGGGAGCACTCTTTTCATTGTAGTCATCCCGCAGTCATAAAAATACATATGTATGGCATGTACTCTGATTTACAACTTCTATTAGAAATCAAAATTTATGGGATGGATCGACAGTGCAGAGGGATTGATTGTATATGTCCCACTGTTAATCAAAATACACAATTTAAAACCGACATTCTGCTGCAGCACTTTAGATGAGAAAGGTGTGACAGCAACCTTTTCGAACAGAGATTTCCCCTTTTATTTTTACACTGACCTGCAGACTCCACAAGAATATGGGAAACGTGGAATTTGTACTCAGGGATCTGGACTTACTGTCTCCACACCAAGCGCGAGTAAAATCATTTGCGCAAATGAATTACACTTTGGGCTCTATTTTCGTGTACGCCGGTGAGGCGACGGAGGGCGGCTTCTTCATGAAAATAGTAATACGCCTCGCCTGTGGCGGATTTAAAGGCAAGGAGAGGAGCTTATGTCATTGGTGAAAACAGGTCTCGGCTGTGTCAAACCCACTCCACGCCCTCTCTCCTCCCTCGCTACGACTTATGCCGCTGGGAGGAGCGGAGTTAGGGAGGGGGGATACTTACGCCGGGCTGCGCTGCTCACCAAATTACCAAATTGTGCTTGGGAACACTTTGTCGGCGTGGCGGACCTGACTTACACCACGCCTGCGGCACGTTCTTCGGCGAGGCACGAAAATAGAGCCCCTAAAGTCAATGCAAAGATGTGATTAGATGCTCCTGCGACTGGCGGCGCTAATGATGCGAATTGGGCGAATCTCAGCTTGAGCAGATATTCCCGCCTCAATAACTACTCAGCACGAAGGTTGCTGGATGACGTATGAAAATGGACGGTTGTTCACTGGTATCTAAAATGGAGGACAAACCGATCGTGTCGGTGTGTGGGTGCCCCAAATTATATGATACCTTTTCTTTCAATCTCTGAAACAGGAATAAAAAGGAGGTTGAATTGGCAGGGATTACCGTTGAAACAACCGTTGACCCGCGGATAAAGCGAGTATATACTAGTCATTCACGTGTCTAGATTTGTGTGAATTAAGCGAGTAGGTGATTTTAGTCGCGCTTAGTGTGAACTTCCCATTAGGTGTTTCGGTATCCATGTGATGTAGGTCTGTTGTTTGGGTGTTACTGATCAATCATGTACCAGCAGGTTTTGGTGTATGCGGGAAATAAATGTCCCGCAAAAGTAGGCAGATTTCTTGTATCAATTATTCAATCAAAACTTTATATATTAAGCGCTTTTCATACAAAATATGTAACATAGAGTGCTTTACAGTTTATTAAAAACAATCCCACGGGCCCTTCCACTCAACCACCCTACCCCCACAACTGCATTACACCACACAACTATACAACAGTTGCAGTCAACAGTCATATACACAGTCTTACCCAAGGCCACACACAAACACCCACACACACCTGCAGAGTATAGATAAACCAGTTGAGAAAGCACCATCAGAGGAGCAGTCTGCACCAGGAGCAGAGAGCCACCCACAGCCACAGGACACCAACACAGGGCCCACTAGAGAAATGTAGCAGGCACAACCTTTCCCAGAACCCACGAGAAAGCCCCTGCAACCACAGCCAATCACCGCTCCCAGTGCAGAGGGCTCCCCCAGAGGAAACAATGGGGGTCCTGAAAGATGGTAAAAGGATAAAAATAAGTATTAGTAAGACACCTTGCTGTGAGAGTGTGTCCTAACGTTTGGAATGACTAGGAGACGGCTGCTGGAGGAGCTCTGTGACAGTTTATATGGTAAAAGCAGTTCTGAAAGATAAGGAAGCCCCAGACCACAAAGACATTTGAAAACAGCCTTAAAATTGATCCTAAAACACACAGGGAGCCAATGCAATGGTTTTAAAGCTGGTGTAATCCTGGTCTTAGTCAAAACACATGCCACTGAATTTTGAAATATTCTTTTAAGGAAGACCAGAAAGCAGGACGTTACAGTAGTATCAACGACTTTTGATAAAAGCATGTATTAGTATCTCTGTCTTGGCTCGAGAGGGAATAAGGTGGGCAATGGAGATGTTTCTTTGGATGATAAAAACCTGTTTTCATTATGTTCTTTATGTGTAGAATAAAAGTCAGCTCAGAGATGAAAATGACACCCAAGTTTTTCACTTTCACTACTTGTGGTGATGAATTTAAAGACAGTGCTTGTAGTTTGGGTAAAAGTTGTCCCCTCTGGGCCTCAAGACCAATGTCTAAAACTTCAGTTTGTCCTGGTTTAGCTGGAGAATTTCCTGCTACCCACGATTTGATATCTAAAATGCTGTCAAAAGAGCGTCTATTGGACGGTGTCATCAGGACACATGTAGATGTAGAGCTGCGTATCATCAGCATAACAGTTGAAGTTGATTCTGTGTTTCCTGATGACACTGCTAATAGAAAGCATGTACAGGTTAAAAAAATTACAGGGCCTAGAATCAAACCCTGGGGCACAACACATGTGATTTTATGGACTCTGGAGGAGCACGTGTCCACACTTACCATGAATGAATGTGAGGGAGGAAAAAAAACATCTGCAAACAGCACCTGAGAGGCCAAGGTGTTTTAAGTTGAAAGAATATTGTTGTCTACTGTAATTGCATCCAGACTTCCATCTGACAATAATCTACATTTATCTCCATGAATAATATATCTATCCAAGAGAAACAAATAAAACATTTCAGATAAAGAATTTGAACTTGATTTGAATCTGCCAGACAGTCATACATACAGGTGCTCATTGGGCAGTTTAGTCTTGTTCTGCTCAATATGAAGGGGTAGTTTATTGGCCATAAAAACTATCCCTAGCTTTATCAGAATACTGATATCCATCAGTTACTCTGGCAGATAAGATGAGATAAGAGGAACATATCTCCGGTGGTGATCAATGACAATTGCACCAGCAATAATTTAGTTCTGAGATTGAAATGAGCCAAATTCCACCACATTTCTGCTGATTCAATGTGGGATTTTACATTCACACAGACACAAATCACACACAAGTCCCCACCATTCTACCTTCACACCTTTTTTCATTTGGCAAAGCATAGCGCAAGCATGAATATCCCGTCCTAAGCAGACTATTTAAAAGGGGCTTTAGTGGGCTCTTACAGAGATAGGCCTTAGTCCAAATCAGGCACCCCTCTGCCTTTGAAGCCTCCGGTCAATAATATGTGTCAGGCTGTCACCATCAGGGGAGGAAATGATCATTTCAGAGGTCATAATTGAGGAAAGAGAAATTAGTCCTGTCTTGCATGAAGTACAGAGGTGAGAAAGGAGTGTCATTTTTCTTAATCTTGCCTCTGTGTTCTTGGCTCTAGTCCTCTTATTACTCCAGTCCCCCCTCCTCCCAACCCCACTATCCCTACTCTTCCATTCATCCCCCCTTTGGATCTATCCCTACTCTCTTTCTCTTACCTCC